GAGTGTAGTGATGCAGTTAAATAACTCTGATGAGTCGTATGACTATACACTACGTGGATTTGTGCTACCCAAAGCAAGAAACTATAAAGACTTAGGAGTTATATTAAGCAATGATCTCAAAACGACTAGTCACTGTAAGGCTGCTGCTGCAAAAGGATATAGGGTATTATGGTCAATTCGTAGGTCTTTTCAGCATTTAGATGATGAAATGTTTGGATTACTATATCCGATTTATGTGCGACCACATTTAGAATACGGGATTCAAGCAGCGAGTCCTTGTTTCAAATATGAAGCAGATATGCTAGAAAGAGTCCAACGACGAGTTACTAAGATGGTACAAGGTCTAGCTGGCCTATCTTATGAAGACAGACTGAGACACCTTAACTTATTTCCGTTATCTTACCGTAGAGTACGGGGTGATCTAATATTGGCTTATCGTATACTGAACGATGACCTTGGTATTAACATGTCTTATCTTTTGCTTGCGTCTAGAACCGATCATTTGAGAGGACATTCGAAGAAAGTTCAAAAACCGAGATCAAAACCGTTTACGTCTGGAGTTCCGTTTCTCGCACCGAGTAGTGAATTACTGGAATTCCCTACCGGAACACGTAATATCAGCACCGTCTGTTAATATATTCAAAACGAGATTGGACCTCCACAGTATTACAAACTGCAAGGATTAATATAGGTCGACAGGCCTCCTATCCTTCCTTATTACTGAAGACTGAAAACAAAAATACACATTATTGGACATATAATCCATGGGCGTCGGTTTTAAAGTTTTCTGTCTAGTGGTCGTTGCGCTATGTCAAGTGACATACCAGATTCAGCGTTCACTGGTTGGAGATATTATTTTAATTCCTACACCGTAAAAGGCCGTTTTAATGTAAGTTGCGCACTAATTCGAGAGTAAGAATGCTAAATGCTGTGTGATTAATTAGGAAAATACTTTTTAACAATTAAGCAGAATATATACATTCCAGCGACATGACGTAAAGTAGGAATGCATTATATCACGACAGCAGTTGACAAACGAGACTGTCTGACACATCTCCTCTGTATCCATATTTTCTTACGAAATATCCCCTTTATTTTCCTCCTTTTTTTCTCGTTTGCTTGTGATGAACATACCGTTGTTTCCCAACCGACAGTTGATCTGAGTGTACCTTAACGAACAAGCCTGTGAAAGTGTCATATAGATGTGGAGTACCACCTTAGTGTGGTTTGTCTATTGTTATCACAAATTAGGAGTTTCAGTTGATTTGGTTACAAAAGTGAGATGAAAATACTTGTCAGTTCATCAAGACCACATTTGTTCTCATCAATAATTTTATAGGAATAACCCATCTACAAAGTCGGGGGTATCCACTTTAAAGCCCAGAGAATTAATAATGGGACAAACCCAGTTCATGTATTGTGAAAACTAATTTATTGCATGTTTTATTTATTTGCAGATTGTAATGGCCAATTACGCAGTCTTGATTGCCGGCTACGCAATTTGGCGAATGAGGTCAAGGAAGAAAAAAGCTTTGGAGAAAGATAAAACCCAATGATATTTCAAAATAGTATAAAAAGTCTCCGTAAATTGCCATTCGTGAAACCAGTTGCGTCTTGTCCTACTGAAATAGAAATTCTTTAGAGATACAACTAGTGTTCTCGATGATTCAGAGACCGATATTTTTATTGTTTTCGAGCTTGCGTACCATCCGTTGAGACATTCACTTAGTTGGTTGCAACAACTGTCTCTTGCTTAAACAAACGGTTCATCCGTGAACATTTCTGCCAGTTTCATGTTAAAACAAAAATCCGTTATACCACTAAAATAAACTTCATATTTGTTCTCGAAAATATCCATATTCCAGAAGTTACGGGATATGGCGATTGATATCAGTGCTTGCCTCTGTTTGTTAGTTGTTGTAACGGTAGATCTTCTGGGCAAGCTAAAATAGATACTAATTACTAGGCATCTGCAATTATCTAACGATTCCTAGTTTGGACCACAGTGTTATTAAGTACTGTCTCTTTATAGTGGTAGCAAGTTTTGGAGAGAACAAGACTTTTTAAAGAATTTAGGAAAATACATTTTAGGTCGCCGCGTGAAATAAAGTTGGTAGACGCTATGTCATTGGTAGAGTTACGGAGGCAAAATTGCATGGTTGGATTGTGGGAACAATAGATGGATGTTCGCATCTGTTAGAGTCCCATTTAGTGCATGGGTGTACTGTGGCGACAGGGTTATGAAAAGCTCCCCCAAAAATATCGGTTTAGTATAATGACGGTTCACTTCTATATTCGATTATATTTTGACCACTTGGTTTCCTAACGGCCGACTCTGAATGCGACTGTTCTAATCGTACCAACAAAGAATGAGCAACATGTATGCCAGTAAATTTCACGAGGATTTCATTTCTAGACATGCTGCGTGAAAATCACATTGTCTAGGTATTCTATCCATATATATATATCAATGCATCTATAGACTTGCCTTTGTAAGGGATTCGGTGTCTCGCCTGTACCTGACCCTTAAGTGGCCCCCAAATGCCGTGGCACGGTCGAGGAGAATCCGCTCACCCACTCGTGGCTACTGCGAGGGGAGTCGTACTCACCGCCTTCTAGCAAGGGGGTGTTGTTTAGGATGTTGAGAAGACGAAGAGCAAATGTCCGACGCTTTTCCAGGTTGATGGACCCACCTAGGTGAGCTGGAAAACCCTGATCCCAAACAAATGATTCACATGGACTGCAGGATCCAAAAAGTGTATGAACCTGTTGCTCGTCACCGGCTACTATAGGACTGCATCTCCTGATGTTGTTCTACTGCCTTGTGGACTATACTTTTAGGTCGAAGGCTCCGGGTGTGACCCTCTAAGAAAACCACTTGCTTCGGTTCGGGCACTCGGACAGCGTCCCAGCCCTCACACATACCATCAACAACGGCTGCTGGCCCCATTGTTATCGTGTAGCGCATATGTATCTAGTGTCCCCTTTTACTAATGTGTGTTCAAATGGTACTCCACAGAACATCTCATTGCACCACCAAAATTTCATCCCCTATTTAGTCTGTCAATCAAGCGATGAATCCTCACTTCGGAAGATACCAGACCTAGACTCGCTAAGCTGCTGGACTTTTGTAGCGGCTCATACGATACTAGTAGAAAGGGATTTCTCAGAGCTGCAATTACTAAATAACTCAATAAATTAAAACCGATTATAAACAACTAATCCAACTTGATGTGTAATTATATGGTCTGTAGTATGCCATATCTGATTCTCATTTCTTCCATAATCCAATTACGTCATGATAAGTTATAAGGCCAATCAATGACACGAAGTTATCTTCAGACAATTCGCGAACTCGTCAGTCAGCTACAACGTAGGACCAGGCACATATATGCATCGGTCCAAGTTGCCATACCTCATTAACACAACAAGATGGACACCGGATTCATAAAAGTAGTTAATTAAGAGGTGGTAATATATAAAAGAAAGATTGCATATATGGATATAGTACAGGGAGAAAGATATGAAGCGATTTTAATCTCTTAGTTCCAAACATTCTGGCATTGTTGCTTAGTGCTACCAGAAGACTCTGCATCCTATCAACGTCTTCACCAAACAGGACTATGTCATCTGCATATTCTCAGTCGATAAGTGGACCTTCTGGAAGGAGATCAATACCCGAGAATGTTATTTCCATCAGTAGGTCTATGATGAAGTTAAACAAAAATGGAGAAAGTGGCCAGCCTTGACGGACGCAAGTTGAGGTTTCAAAAGCAGATGACAGTTCGCCATAAGCTCTGACTCGACTAGTAGTGTTCGAGTAAAGAGCTTTTACAGGGTTTATGTACTTCTGGGGTACGCCTTTCAATGACAGACACTGCCACAGAATCTCGCGGTCTACCGAGTCAAATGCTGCTTTTAAGTCAAGAAAGACCACCACCACCATTCGCAAACTTCATACTATAAATTCCTAAACCCATATTTGTATGCGGAAATCTACTCGTAAATTCCTACTATTATCTACAGTATCATCTGTTAAACTGTGTTTTTATAAATAACGTCAGTAGGATCCATCATCAATAAACAATATGCGGCGATCCAGGACACTACAAAGCTAGTAGACCCTACCACCGTTCAGTGGTTACTATGATAGTTCTACAACGCACTCAGAAGAAATATCCGAAAGACGATATAATCCTACATTTTTAGAAAATTGGCTCATCAGTATACCTTGAATTAACTTCATATTCATATTCCTAGCTCTTCTCATAAAACTTCTTTACGGTCATTAGCATTCGCGAATGCTTTGTCTATATTCAAACGTTGTACCTGTTTTGTAAATCAGGGAACATTTTGCAACTGTACTCTTATCTACTTCTTAGAAGAACATACTTTCCTCTCGACGGTGTAATCTAACTTTCACGTAGGTGGTTTTCCGGAAATTTGTTCAATTCTCAAGTTGGTTTCACATAAGCTGCGAAATTGTTACAAATAGTATTTTGACTAGAAGAAATCATACTCACCGTGAGACCCGAATGCTCCAGGCCCGATCTCATGAACTCCTGCAGAATCCTAAGCTGAGATGTAACAGCTATTCAGTAACCCCGGTTTTACGGTTTAGACCGTATAAGTTGTGTAACTAACAACCTACATACTTCACGATGAGATTTGTAGGTTTATACTGTTCTCTAAAATACTACCGTACTTTTGGACACATTTCATTCTTTTTCTTTCAGGATTTTATGGTTAACTCGATTTTCAAGTTAGAAACCTTGCGTAGCTTTTATGATGCGTACGTAAATCAAGTCGTAGATATGTATGCAGCCGAAGGACTACTCCGATTTTCGTAAATATCTTAGATTATCGAATAATGAAATAATAAGAATAATCACAAATTCTTATTATAAGGTTGCGGTTTCTGAATTACTTGGGGCCATTGAATTACGTTTAGAAAAGCTTTCCTATAACGTATTTCGAAATGTTTTAATCCATAAAACTTCTTAATTCACCAATGAGATGTATTGTTTGTTAATAAGATCTATAATAACTGATATAGTATAGATTTATGGTAATGAATATAACACAGTTTATACGAAAGAAAACGAGACAGATATAAAAGTTTATTTGATTGTAGATATAAATAACTTGAAGATAAGTGTGGATTACACTCCTATTTTTCAAAATCTTGTGTATAAAACCACATTTTTATGAACCAATACACACTAGAGTAGGAAATTAGACTCATTGTGCAATACAAAAGCCCCCACATTCAAACCAGCATATAATTTTCATTGAGAATGGAATATACATAACTCTATCTATGGTTACATATAAGGAGCAAAGTGTGTTAATCAAATATAGGCAATATATATATAAATATATAAAGAATCTATAAGTCCTCGACAATATTGAAATCACTAAAACAACCTATTTAAACATAAGGTCATTTAACTATGATCAAATCGTTGACTGTCAATATCTTACACGGAGAACCATTGGCTTATAAAGTACGTCGCATACCCAGGGAGAATTTGAGTAGTATAAGATTATTAAAACGACATAAGTAGTAGGTAATCACTAAAGTACCCATAATAGACATAATTCAGAAGGTCGATGGAAGACGTGAGAAACAGGGGAAGAGCTGACATAGCTTCAAATCACCACTAAGAGGTGGTTTCCAAGATGAAAATGAGGGTAAAGAAACAGTGCAAAACTGGGGAAACAGCATTAAAAAGGTTCAATACACACTTCCTCCAACATATTGACAAACTCAACCAATTCCACAGAACTTTCAACAACAGCTACCACGCCTTACAAGATCTACTTAAAGAAGAAAAAACTACTATTGAGGACAGCTCAAAAGGGATCAGAGAAGCACCATCAAATCAGTAGTGGGAAAGCAGCATGACCTGACAATATATCAGCCGAAGCACTCAAGTCACACAGATGTAATTATACCTACTTCACGTTCTATTCAGGAAGATTTGTGAGGAAGAACAAACGCCGACAGACTGGGAAGAAAGACACGTCAGCAATATATCAAAATAAAGAGATTTGAACAAATGTGTGGGCTCAGCTACAGAAGCACCAGAAAACGTCGTCCACAGAGTGTCGCTGAACCGAATGAAGGTTTCAGTTAACATCCAGCTTCAAGATCTACAGGCCGGATTCCGTAAAGACCGGTTGTTCACAGACCGAATCGCGACACTACGCATCATCGTTGAACAATCAATTGAATTGAACTCGTCACCATACATCAAATCCCTTGACTATGAGAAGGCGTTTGACAGAGTGGATAGGAGAATCTTTTCTGATGACCTAACTTTTCTATCCCGTACACATAGACAAATGCAGGTCAAGACAGCCACTGTGACAGAAGCCTCAACGTACACAAGGGAAGGGCAACATCATTGAATACAACACAGAGAACACTAACTCAACCACACTTGATGGGAAAGCTCTGGAACAGGTGGAGACTTTCATGTACTTGGTCAGCAGCATCATCAGTGAACGAGGAGGATCGGATGCAGACGTAAAGGTAAGGAACTCAAAACAATTGCCAACCAATATAAAATCCAGAATCTTCAATACGAACGTCGGGACATTTCCACTGTACGGAGATAAAACTTGGACTACTACTACAACCATCATCAAAAAGATACAAGTATTTATAAACAATTATCTACTCAAGATACTGAATGTCGTTTGACCGAATACCACGAGCAACAGCCTACTGTGGGAAAGAATAAACCAGCTTCGAACTGAAGAGGAAATTGGGGAGATACGCTGGAAGTGGATAGGACATGCATTACAGAAATAACCCGATTGCATCACGAGGCAAGCGCTTGCTTGGAATCCTGAAAGGAAACGGGAAAGAGGAAAGGTAAAGAACACTGCACCGGGATTGGAAGCAGACATAAAAAGAATGAGGATCAACTTGAAAGAACTTGGTAGGAGTATCCAGCACAGATTTGGTTGGAGATTGTTGGTATGTGGCCGATATGATGGAAAGAAAAGTCAATTTTCGATTGATTTACTCATTATGATTTTTGTTCAAAATTACTTCCGTTTTGATTCAGTGTAGTGATTACTCAATGTAGTATTTGTTTCCTTTTCTCGTATGATATTTTATACTGTATAATATGGGATATTCTTGTATTCCATTGACATGAACTATACTCAGTCTGTGATTTGTTATAACTCCAAGTATTTTTCATATATGTGATTTCATCCTAATTATTAATCAAAATGAGCGTGCAATCAATATATAAATGAGTGTATTTTCTACTAGAATGGTCGTCCTCGTCAGTGTTTTGGGGTTAGTAAATCATCACTTGTACCAGTCTTGTGTTCTTACTTTCACGTCGTGGGAATTGCAGAGGTCTCTCGTTCCGAGTATAAGTGATAAGCGTTTCTTAAATAACAATCAGCGACGACCAGATACAAAAAGTAGCATTAAAAGAGCCAAGACTATAAGCATTCAAACGACAAGTTATAACATTGGCCTATGCTCCTCTACGTGGGGGTTGGAGTCTAAAAGTGATCACCAAGTCTGAGATGCAGGTTTACATATAAATGACGAGTCCCAAGTATGAAGAAATGCGCGTCCTAGATTCCACTGCATTCCATTTATTCTTTACACACTTGTTTCATAATGGCAATATCGAAGCAGTCCGCACAGAATGCATATATCCCAAAGAAGAATAATCACATTTCAGTTAAAATATCAATACCGAGGTCATCTAAATCATTACAAAATATATTGGATGAAGTTGTAAACTTCGCAACGGTTGTGTCAATAACGTGCTCGCAGAGATAATGAAATAAAAATAGATACAACCGTGTGTATATAGATTTACAGATACACAATCTAGAGAGATATATGTATCAGTGAAAAGAGATCTATACAAGATTTATATACGAGAACAATATAGATAAAGAATTAGATTAGTTTTAGGAAAAGAATCTATTGAATTTTATCCCAAAATATTTTTAGAATATCTTTCATAAGATGAGCATAGTTGCATGGTATCAACCATAACAGTGGTAGTAGTGAATTTTCTCGTCTGTTTATCATCAGAAATTGTTATTGATTAACTCCACAAAAGAAGGGAATTTACAAGATGTACAACTAATTATAGGATGGAACCAGTTCATATTTTAAAACTACAATTTACGCATAACAGATTACTACATGGGAATTTCTGTAACAAATTGAATAGCTTATCAAGCACATTGGGTGACTAATTTTCAGTTAAATTAACTTCAGGTATATGTAAATTTGTAGAGAAAACTTGGGAAAAAGGAATAGAAAAATGTCAATAAAATCTCGATATATATATATATATATATATATATATATATATATATATATATATAACTCAACTAATTAAAAGGATACTACCCTAAGTCCACGTTCTGATGGATCAATCATAAGTAATCCATTCGGTAAAAATAATTTCTCATTTAAATCCGCAACAGCTAAAGTCACTTTATGCAATACCTGGAACAGTTACAGACAAAAATAACCCATCACGAATCATTATGAATTATCGGTAGAATATTGTATATTGAAGAATGATTATGAAGAACACGATAAATAATAAGTAATAAGATAAATCTATAAGAAACAATAACAGTAGAAACGAAAATTCATCATTGCCAAACTACTTTGTGTTACGTTCATTATGATTAAGTTTAAGAATTAGTAATATAAGCCACGATTGGTCGAAAAAATGCTTACGAAGTAATCAGTAATTTTAAAAAAATGAATATCTTTATATTGTCTATGACTTCACTATATTCTACTCTGCATTTTACGGTTTGTGAACAGATTATATTTGTGTCTGTAACTTACTTTTGGATTTTCGGTTGGATATTGTGTAACGTGTGACCTAATCTAATGGTCTAGTTATCTAGTATATCGATCGATTCTCCAAACTAATGTTTGGTTAATTATTCTACTACCTACTAGTTGTATTATCTCGTGACAAACGGTAAATCATTCATTTCCTCCGTAATATCAATTATCTAGAGTCAGAATTTGCCAAAGTCATAATGAGAATGAAGTTCAAACTGTCATCTCATTATGGAGTCGATAAAATGAAAGTGAATATGAATACTTATCAAAGTTATTAGAAGTTCGTCATAAATTAACTGAAGTCAAAAAATAATAACCAATGAAAACAGACATTTACTATGAAAACGTAATATCTGGAAATATATTCGTTCAGTGATCAAGTAGTTTCCTAACTCCACAACGTTTTACTTGTCGTCATTAAAATTAAAACCATTTTCAAATTTGAGTTGTTTTCTAAACCATCATGGCCTTAAATCCCTGGAAGAGGTAATATAAATCAGGAGAGAGAGAGAGGAGAACACATCACAGCGTCCTAAAAATAGATTGTTTCAAACAAACCGCTGAATATTTTTGTTGTTTAGTTTTCATTTCGTCGGAAGTTTATTTCCTAAATAAACTAATCAATAGTAGTTAAATCAGAAAAAACTTATCATATACCCTTTAATTTGATTGCTTAATTTAACACATCAGTTATTCAATAATAATCAAGGTAGAAACTGACAAAGATATGCATTGACCCAAGTTCCCTCACCTGATTAATATGGCGAGGTGAGTTGCGGTAGCAATAATCATAAGAAAGACTAAACCTTAAAAATATGGTGCTAAAAGACTGAATTAGAAAGTATGAAGAAATGCAGGAATTCAAGATCGAAAGGATGATAAACAACAAATGTATCTCTACCGCTGTGACTGATTTCAAACTATTATACTCAACGTCTATCATGACTGATCGTGGTTATCATACATACCCCAATCAATCAGTCTCAATACATTTACTTGTTTCAGTTCACTAGTCAATGATATCATAGACTGGTGTTAGGTTTCAGTTTGATCGCACCTACTTTTTTTCTTACTCCTACGCCAGTTGAGGTAGACGGTGATTAGGGACACGTAACATGTCTCAATCATCTCCGAGTAATATTCACATTTTTTAAATACCATCACCAAACAATGCGAGAGTTTAATAATAATAATAATAATAATAATAATAATAATAATAATAATAATAATAACAATAATAATAATAATAATAACTAACAATTATCACATTTTCATGTTAATTCCCAAGTCTTTTTACATGTCAAAAAATAACAATATGAATCGAACTTAGTGTGATACCGTATCAGTTTTAAGGTTTTTAAAAAGTCATTTGAATTTCTACTCGTGACTTAATGAATAGTTAATGGATTACATATAGTGATTAGTTTATAATGGACCAATCCTTAACACTACCAATATATGTACATATATCTCACGTTATACAGACTTATCATGCATACAGTTGTGGAGTACACGTCTAGAATGTTGTAGTAAATAATGATTAAGATAAATTCATATAATCAAAAAACTTTTCATAAATTTTAACACTTGATTTTCATTTTCCTAATGAATTATTATCTATCCACTATACATATTCAACGTTTACAAAACTAGAATTACGCTTGAAACTAACTAGGGGCGTATACTAAATTATTCATCAGATATTTCATCAGCAGATAAATAAATCCTAATCAGTTAGTCAGTTGTAACCTGAATACAAATTGATACAAATTTGTATCAACTCAAGTTGACATATTTCACATCAATAAAGAGATAAGATAATTACATAAAAATCCTTGCACGCAAGGAAAAGTATAAAAGTTCTATTATACCTTACCTAGCAAATATACTCTGTGACGAACAGGTTGTTAGAATTAACTTAGTCAATAACTTACATTCTTAACATGTCTTTAATTTTAAAAGTTTGTAGTTTCTTTTGGTTTTTTTTTTAAATTTTTATTTTATATATTTCTTTATATATTCGCTACTGTCTTTTTTGTTCGTTGTTCAGTAAGTAACTTGTTGAAATACCCTGTGCTGAGAATTCTATATTGTACCAAAATATAATATTGAATAAAGCCATTAATAATAATAATAATAATAATAATAATAATAATAATAATAATAATAATAATAATAATAATAATAATAACTTGACATGGTTTAGAAATAGAGACCTTTAATTTATGATGTTCATGAGACGGTTAAAATTGATAGTTGATGCTTAAATGACACTAATAAAAAAATACGAAATAAATTTACTCATTTCTTTTTATAAATAAAGAACGAATTTCTAGCATTTAGTAAAGTGTATACGACAGTTATATTTATAGAGTAAAAAATTTCTGTGCCCAATACTGATTAAACTTCGGTACCAAAAAATTAAATTGCTAGAATTAACATGTAGTTATAAGACTTCCCAAACACTTAAAAATCATCTTACCTTGTCATAATGTGTCTTCATGCATAAAAATATCAGATATGCTGTTAAACAACCAAATAAGTTCTCTAGACAAACAGAAGAATTAATTGTTTCAGCTTCATCGAATAATTTATTCAAACGAGCGATTGCATCAGCGTATCGATTAGGAGGAATCTATGCGTAAAACAATAAATGATCGTAAACATTAGTGAATAGTAATATAAGTAATGAGGAAAAATCTGCTTTTCCCAACTAATTTAAATCAACGATAACACAACAACTTACACGTCCACGAAGTTGTAAAGGCATTGGTAAAGTTTGAAATCGTACTGCTGTACCAGATGAATAATCACGTTGAATGAAAATACGTTCACAAGGCACCATAGAGTTATTAGGCCGTTCTTCACTACCCATAACTATGATAATAACTGTCTATTTACCCTAAAATGTATAATGTTTAAATAAAGGACAGATTGGAATTTATAGATATAGTTCTATTGTTTGTAAAGTTTACGAAAGTAAAAATTTTGAAGGCGAACCTGTGTGAGTTTATGTGTTAATATACACAGATTCAGAATAAAAGTATATGTAAACTATAGTTTCACTTGGTTAATATTGAGTTGAACAAAAGTGAGCGGGATCCACCTACCAACAAGAACACGAAACTATTTCAATCTGTTAGGCTTCAAAGTAAACTGGTCCGTTCAACTATATTTTACACATTTATGTGATTATGTTTCTTTAAGGGAGGTGGGATTATGCTATGAATTTTTGTAACAAACAAAAATAATTAATGCTAGGAACATAAAAAACTGGACATATCATGTAAGTAATAAAAGATACACTAAGTTCAGGATTAAACCACTTGTTACTTATTTAATCGTGATCAGAATCTGACCTTTGATTTGTAAGTTGAATCAATACCACTTCAATAACTTCTTAAACAATAACCTATATAACTAGAAGGTATAAGGCAGAAATGTCAAAAATCAACTGACCATTTGTCAAATATAAGATAATGACCCTGAACGAACTTAACACAACTATTGCAGATGTGTTCATAGTGAAAATTTCAATTACAACCATAGTATAAAATAAACTTCATTGAATCAGAAGCGAAATGTTTGAATTTGGTTTAAGTTGACAATTGGGAATCACATTAAGTAACTTTCCAATGAAATTTAAATCCAACCGATAATCAGTTTTCACAAGTCAATCAAGTGAATTGATATACTCAGAAGTTTATAGTTTACATGTACCAATAAACTACATACTTCAACCATGAATTCATACAAATCAGAGAATAAATATGGGCTTCAAAGTATATTTGTTGTGAGGGAAAGACACACTATGCAATTACTTGAACATAAGTAAATGAAGCGTCTTTTAAACCTATATTATGATAGATGATATTTAAGTGCTTAAATCATTATCAGAAAGGGTTTTGTGGAGATTTCAGAAATTTCACTAGTTGAAATTGAGAAAATTGAAGCTAGACCACCATGGAAAGCCTGGAAGCACTGGACGGCCGTTTCGTCCTAGTATAGGACTCCTCAGCAGTGCACATCCACTATCCCGCCCCCCGCGAGTCTCGAACTCAGGATATCAGTCTCGCGCGCGAGACATATATTACATATCCCCAACCACCGCATACGATGACCATCAATGCTGTCTGTAGATGTTGGTTGGCAGATAACTAGGGGTGGCCAAATCGAAACGTAACTTTAGTCCTTGAAATCACTGACTATTGATTTGAATCAAGTAAGTGAATTTAGACTGGATGATTGGTGTATGTATGTTAACAGCGGTCAGTTGTCGTAGGTGTTGGGTAAGACGGTTCAGAAGTGTTTGCAATGACACAGGTGCATTCATTTTTCATCTTCCCATGAATGTTGAATTCTATTATATAATGGGATAGTCATTTTAATTGTTTTTAATGTTTATTGTTTCTAGATTACATCTCCACTACATTATTTTCGCGATTCACTTAGTCATGTTAGTGAGTTGTTTCTACTTTGGTTAATTCATATTTGACCGAAACTAACTAACTGATTATAATTTAAAAGGAAAATAACTCAACTGAATGGGGAGAGAGTGAACGCACGCAACTAACAAGTGCATGTAACCCACAGCTGTATTTCGAGTAGAAAAGTTTTTAAAGTTCGAGAGTTAAAAGTTGTTAATTAAAAAAACGCTAACAACATCATAAACCTTCATTCTTCAATCAAAACAAATATCAAAAGTGTATAAAATTGAAAATGAAACAATAGGAAGAACAATCATATGATCTAATCTAGTTTTATTATGATATTTTTGTTTGTATTTTTATCAAATACAATTTCATATAAAAGTTATAAATGAATAGATTTTTTCATTCTTTTGTTTTTTACTTTTAAAATCAACAACAAAATATCCCAATGGAGGAAGAAGAAAAAGGAATGGCACTTGCTTTCCACACGATTTTTATTGAACTGTGTTGTTGTTTTTATTCATGAGATGAGTAAGCAACCCCTAAAATAAGGCATGAACATTAATTCATATAACAAAAACTGGAATCACAAGAAAGATAGTTAAAAGTTGTTGTTATTGTCAAACACATGTCTCCACAGCGATTGCAATTCCCATTCCACCACCTATACATAAAGCAGCTACACCTCGTCGAACTACAGTTGAATGATCACCGCCATTGACATCATGATCTTTACAAAGCCGTTGTAATGTATGCACTAATGTGACCAATATACGAGCACCACTGCATCCAACTGGATGACCTAATGCAATTGCACCACCGGATATATTCAATTTCTCTGGTAATATACACAATTCAGTAGCAATCTGAAAAAAGTATATAAGGAAATAGAAAAGGAAATCTTTCTTTTCTTCTGATGAATTAGTAAAGAAAAACGAAGAAATGATATACACAATTATAGAATCCTAACTAGTGAGAGCTCAATTATCCTACTGCTGAAATTCAGTACTGGATTTTGATAAGCTTTTGTTAGTAAATATGGGCGCCCTGTGAGTATTGTCTCGATGTAGCTATTTTATCACGTTCTTCTTCACGGTAGAATAAATGGACTGTAGTTTGTAATGGGACTTAGTAGACTAATTAGTGGATGTGCTGGAGTTTGAAGCGAAAGGTATTGGGTTCCAGTTCTAATGTAAACAATAGCATTGATATATAGACAAATCTATCTGATAAATCCCGAAAGGGATGGAACGCTTGTCCTGAATTCCATCACTGGAAATAGTCCATCAATCCTAAACAAATATATGATATGGCTTTTACGTTTTCACGGTCTATTCAATAGTGAGCATTGAAGGCCACACCAGAAATCGGACCCAAAACCTTCAGTCTTCTCAGGGAACACTTAACTTTTAAACGACTAAGCCAGAATCCAACGGTTTAGTTTACATTTCTAGCTCCAATTAATTCATGATATTGAGCAACCATCTTCCAGTGGAATTGATAGGTAACTTCCTAACGCCCAACATCGTTGAACTCCACTGGCCACAGCCTTTATCTAAGACCCTGGGAATTACTTTTCCAAATTACTTATTAAAAGTACATTATACCTGCCATAGAATTGTGGGAATCAATCTGTGATGTAAACTATGAAATCCAACAATCTTTGCAAACCCATTATGGTAATGAGACTTAGATAAACAATTATTAACTTATAAATCGGCTTCATTTTGTTTAACTTGACATTCATCAAACATTTATATACGAATTCAAGTGATTGATTACCTACTTAACATAATTCACAATTTTACCATCTTGTTGAATTTTTGTAAGATTAGGGTCGTTGGTATCCACACCCGTTTGTATATCTTAGATTGTAGAACTATATGGTAAAACAAATCTTAGATAAATTGAATCATGAATTCAGTAAAAAAACAAAGGTATTAATTTTATACAAAATAAGCTAGGGCCTAAACTTTTTGAAAAAAGAACATTTACAGCGATACACTGAGAAGCAAAAGCCTCATTGATTTCAAATATATCAACGGATTCCATCTTCCAGCCAATTTTAGATAATAGTCCCCGAATAGCGTAAATAGGACCAAGGCCCATCAGTTCCGGTTCGAGACCAGCTTGATGCCAACCTACAATACGAGCCAGAGGACGACGAGAACCTGTGAAACAAAGTGAAGAGAGACACAAACAGGACAATTAATTTGAACAGGTGAAATTGAAGTGTTACATACAGTTACTCGGTGGAAATCGGCTTCGAAAAAGTAATTGTGAGGACAACGTAATAGATTCAAGTCCACCAGATGCTATCGTGACACACCGACCGTGGTTCACACTAGAAAAAGTCTATAATCGGAACTAGATTGATTAGTGATCTATGTCTAGTCTCAATGATAATAAAAACATAGACGGGTTCGGTACTAATAACGAAGTTGGATTAATTTGAAAAAATATTTTTCAGCAAATTAGCATTTTTGAAAATGATGAATGAAGGAAGTTTTATATTAAATAAACCCAAGTTCAAACAATACAAAGGAACAAAACAAAAATATTCCGTACGATCAATCAAAAAACAGTTGTGACCAAGCCAAAGTCGTATGACTCCGGTCAAGTGATTAAGGTGATACATATTTGTTTACTGCTGTCTATCGATGGATGAAAAATGTGACATTTGTAGTGTGAAATGATAGAGTTGAATTTGCATGTATGATAATAGTGTGAGACGTTAACAGAATCAGACAACGTAGCTAGAATAGATAGTCCAAGTCGGATGAATAGTAAGGCCCTTTTTTCTATTGAGGACAAAAGAATTTAAAAATACATGGAAAGCTTCAGCTAAATTAAAGTCGGCATAATGATTCGAATGTGTTGGTGGTTTTCGGTAGATAGTTAGATTTAGAACTACGCTTAGTTTTCTTTTAACTAAGATATCTAGAAATAACAACTCACTGTGTTTATTTTTATCTTCATAAGTAAATAAAATGTGCGACGAGAGCATGTTGATCAGTTTTAAAAAGTTTGCAAGAGAGTATATTTCATAACGATAAAAGTATCAACCACGTCACGGATAACTTCTAGACCTCTAGTCTTTCAAAATTGACCATATTTTCTATTCGCTAATATATTTTTTCTCTATAACAATGACAAGATAACTCCCAAATTCTAGTTAAAAATCCTAAACACCAAATTAAACAACATATGATGAAATACATATGAAAGACATTATGATAATCTGGTTTATATTCGATATACTTAATAATATTTCAAATTATCTACATGTAAATTTGATAACATTTATTATTTAACCTTAAAAATTTCCATAATAATGATAAGCTGTCTTAACAAGGATTATCTGAAATAGATCTATATGTATCAAGAACAAAATCATACGGTAGGTTGGATTCGTTTATTAGGAAGTAGCATATAAATGATAACGCTAATTCTTAAAATGTTATGATAATACAATAACTGAGTGAATTTATTTCAATGGATGCTTATGAATTGATATTTGTAATACAATTAATAAATTTATGTGTACTTTATGAACAATTCAAAGATAATAAGTTGTAATAATTATTAAACTTGTTTAAATGAACACTAAAAAGTTAATTTACCAAGTTTTGATAGTTGATCACCACGGCAGAGTAATAAAATCGCTGCACCATCATTTACTCCACTGGCATTACCTGCTGTAACTGTCCCATGATTTGTATCTTCATGAAATGCTGGTCGTAATTTTGACAATTTAACTAAAGTAGTATCTGGACGTGGATGTTCATCTGTAGTAATAATTTTTGATGCTTCTTTACCAATAGCTGGGACCTAAGAAATATATATATATATAATCAATAATTAAACATTTTGATAACAGTGATGAAATGAAAATAACAAATTAAAGGTGATGCAGTTAATGAAATATCGATTCAAGGTTCACACATAACAGTTCACAGAACGTTCAATGAATGGAAACTATGGCCAGTGCTTTTACGAGCTAAACGGTGACACCAAGACTAAAAGATGATTTACCTAGACATTAATTATCTCTTTTTGAATTTTTCAATCAATTCAACAAATAAATTTATATTGGCCGCTATTCTAAGAATTAAAATTTTCATGCTTATGAGCAGATTCCAACGGGGTTAAGTAAAAGTCTGGTGTCAAGACAGTACATAGCAAAATTTTTATCAAATTAGTTAGAACTGGTCATAATCTCTGCATAAATCAGTCATTTACACTAGTTTGTCAGTTTAGTAGCTTTCCGCCATAATCTCTTAAATTTCAAGTCCTCCGAAAAGGAGAGGCGATAGGTATTAGGAGTTATCTGTATAAAAGAATTGTATTTAACCTCGTCTCTTACCTTTTTTAGTATCAAATCCAATAAGCCAATATTCATCTTAATTATAGGATGACCTCATTTGATTAAAATACATACAACCTTCCCCTTTGTAACTTTATAACTCATTGTTACCATTATACACAACGTAGAACCCGATAATTATGTCCTCCAGTTCGAGTTTCCACAATCACTAACACAATGAGATGAATTCCAGAGTTGCTGAAGTGGTATCAGTAAAAGTTATAAAAACTAGTTATAGGAAAAGAAAGGTAGTATAACGAGATTGCAAGACTCAGGTTCTAGAGAGAAACAACTGTTGTCCACTACACAACGAGTAAATCGACCTCAGACATTGCGAATGATTCTGAGACATACTACCCGATGTCTCTAACCATTGGTTACGATGAGCATGCAGAAACCAAATAAAATTTATGCCATTGAAATACTAGAACCATTTAGCCCCCAATGGCCCTGGTAAGGCCGAGGATAGGGAGAATCCACTCACCCTCTCGAAATGATCTCACATGGCCATGCGTATAGTGGCAGTATACTATTAATCTCATCATTCACGCAGCTACGAAGATATACGAACTTCTCGACTACACTTAGGAGGTGCAAAGCACATACCATATCTACGAACACTAGTCGCCAACTCATTAAGTGAGGATTTCATGGCTTGAGTATCACCGCACAGTAAGAAAATATGATCGAAAAGTCTTTCTCCAGGTAATAGATCCACATCACCATTCTCTACATCCATATGAGCTGTTTCCAGAACGTCCTCGATAGCAAAGTTGAAGAGGAATATTCAGATTGGGAAACTCTGTCTAACCTCATTACTTGAATGTAATAATGGAGAGAGGTGGTTGTATGCCCTCACTCTACCTGAGGTGTTTGTATGTAGGGCTTTCAAGATGTTAATGAAATTCTCAGGCACACCCTTCTGCAACAGACAATCCCAGAGAACAGTCCTGTCTAACGAATCGAATGCGGCTCTAATGTCAAGAAACACTACGATCATTAGCTCGTGATAAGTATGACGGGGTTCTAATATTTGGTGGGGAGTGAAGATATGATCAATACATCCTCGACCAGAACGAAAACCAGCCTGCTCCTCGCGAGTCAATCTTTCTCGGGTTTTGAACAACCTACGAAGTATGACGGAAGCAAAAAGTTTGGACGCAAAAGGAAGTAGACTTATCCCCCGATAGTTATTACAGGAACGATGTGAACACTTTTTAAAGGTAGGAACAACTATCAACTCACCTCATGATGCTGGAACACTCTCTAACTGTCAAACCTTTGTAAACAACCCAGTCAGTTCTTTATCCAGGAAGTCACAACCATCTTTAAAAAAGGCCGGAGGTAAGTCATCTGGACTGGTGATTTGTAGCGCCTCAAGAGTTGGAGTTCTTTGCGGACTTCCACCTCGTTAGGTGGATCAGTCGTCACCGGCCACGGAGAACAGGACAGTCTGATCGATGTTTCCAGGGCAGCAGACCAGTTGAACGTCTCATCAGAAAACTTTACCTATCGTTCAAGACGTCGATAGATGTTAGTGATTGGCATTCCTTTATCTTCACAGATTGTCTCACTTACACTAGATTTCTTGCTGCCAGTGGCTCGGATGAGTTGGAAGAGCTTCCGGTAATTACCAGATGCAGCTGCTGCTTCCAGCTCATTAGCACGCTCCGACCACCAGGCTTCCCGGTTCTTACGCAAGCTTTGCCCAAGTTCATTACGCAACAGTCGTCGTTTGTGATCACACTCACGGTCACCCGGAGTAGGCCGACGGGCTTCAATAAGTTGTAAGGAGCCTGAAGAAACCCAGTGCTTATAAGCAGGACGTTTCGCGAAGCCGCAAGTGACTTTACTCACCATTTTCATGGAGTCATTCAATTGCAACCAACGCCCATCTATACTTTTAGGTGGGATGTTAGCTATCCTTGAACCTAGCTCGGTTCGATATTTAGTTGCAACAGGAGCTGCAACCAATTTACTGGCATCGGTTCATTCAGGACTATTAATAGGTACTCCGAAAGGAGTAGCAGTCGTGTGCACAACCGCGCCAACGATATTTGATCACCATGTGATCGATCTGAGTTCAAGCTTGAGATTAAGAGGGAAGAATAGTATTTCCAGTAGCAATTGTCATTTCATTTGATTTGTGTGTGGGCTGTGATACTGCCTGAGTGCCTAAACCGAAGTAGGTGGTTTTCTTAATAGGCCATACCCGGAGCCTTCGACCTAAAAGTCTGATCTATAAGGCAATGGAGCAACGTCATCAGATGCAGTCCCATGGTAGCCGATGACCAACAACAGGTTCATACGCTTATTGTTCCCTCAGGATCCTGGAGCCCATCTGGGAATCGTAAAGTGGATGTGCTTGCATCCCAGCGTTGAGAGACTCAGACCAAAAACATATTGCGTCAAAACTCAACGTGTTAAACACTGAGCTACCGTGTCCAGATATCCACTAGCTCATACAACGGAAATGGATTTAATTATTTATTTGTAAGTGTTCAAGTTTTCCCGTTGTCGATGTTAAGGACTGGATTTTTGCCAGTAGTCTGATTCGTAATTACTTCAATATTTCTCTCAGCCTGGTATCTCTATCGATTTTCATTTTTAATTTCATGATTTCGACTGACATATAAGCCAATTAACGTTAGTATTACATACTAAACAGTTGAACAGTTAGAATTTTATTTTACTTCCAATCTTAAATTCATATCCCATAATTTTAAAAATGTAGTTGCTTTGAATATGATCTTCCGTTTAGATCACTGATTTGAATACATAATTAACTGTAGAACATGAAGAAAATCTATAAAAAACAGTATTTTTCATCCACATATGTATATTATAATTTTATATTTATTAGGCTCACTTTAATTGGTGTTATTTCATTGAGAAAATGACCAGCTTTCAGAGCGGCTGCATATTTTTCTTGTGATCTTAAAGCGAATAAATCTTGTTCTTCTCGGCTAATTCCAAATCTTTCATAATCATTGATAAATTCAATAAAAGTTATAATGAAGAAGGGAAAAATCAATGAATACATAAAATATATTTTAGTCTCAGCACGTGTATGATTTCCAGAAACCTTCAGAAAGTTAAACCACTTGAACTAGACAAGATACGTGAAAAGTGAACGTATTATTTAGTCTTTTGTCAGTAGTGGCAGCAGTAGTAGTAATAGTAGTAGTAGTAGTAGTAATAGTAATACTGACAGTGCAAATTCATCTCAGTAACAGAATGACGATATTACGATGAAGTAAGATTTTTAGATTTATCACAAAATAGACATTCGCTCCACTATGAAAAGAATTCTCTGTGTTCAACAAGTTTTGCTTTCGACAACAAAAAAATTAAGTAAGGAGACAGACAAAAAAAAGTCAAAGGAATTAAGTACTTCAAGAAGATATGTATTCAGGCAATTAACATTTAAATTGCGATTAAATTAGGATGTATGAATAGAATTAGTCCACTAGGATAGTGCAAACAATTGTTTGCATATTTACGATTTACAGAGTTGATAAAAAAACTTCAGTTTATTACGTTTGAAATGAACGAGAAAACAATGATATACTAAGTAGAGTAAACGATTCTTAACACAACAGCATAGTAATCAATCAATCAAAAAAAATTCACTATTCCCAAGAAGCATAGACATTTTGACGTGAGCTAATATTTAGTGATTAATTGAAGTACTTAATTCAATCACACAAATATGCTGTTCTTAGGTTTGACGAAAGTCAAACGTAGTCAAACCACAATGTGATGTTAGACCATGATATAACTGACTGTTAACCTGAATAGTGTAAAGGGATCGCAGAGGATCGGATTGAGGTCCATAGAATAACCGTGATTAGAGATTGGAAACACAGGATGATTTGATTTAAAATATAGTGAAAGGTGAAAATCCATTCATTCTTTATTATCTCTTAGATTCTAAGTTTTAGTATAATTTCATAAATTTCTTTACTTTATGAACCACATTCACGATGTTTAGTTTCTCACAGCATCAATGAAACTGGTATTGTTTCGACTCGTTTACCATTCCTCCGGTTAATTTTATCTCTGTGCAGGTGTGGTATAACAACCTGAGCAAATGAGAAATCGTTGCAGATCCTACATTGATTATAACTGATATCTATAACCAGCGAATACCACAAACTAGTGTACCAAAACTATAAAGGCTTGATTCTCATTGAAAACAAGATAGTTGATAAGCCAAGTTAGACGATTGCTGGTAGTTTAATCTAGGATGAGCGGTTCTCTCTATTCGGGACTCGTCAGCTGATGCACCTGGATACCAGAGTTGATGTTCACTTCTGGAATCGGACCCAGTAGCGTCCGCTTCAAACTCCAAAGCGTTATCCAATTACCTTCTGAGTTCAGATAGCTATTGGCTTATGCAATGGCGTGAATTTTAACTTATTTTTATTAGCTTTTTAAATTTTCCTATTGATGACTAAATGACAATACAAGGGTAATCTACACAAGATCTTAAAAGAGACATATTAATTGCAGTCATAAACATCTATGGAAAGATTCAAACAACCGATATCAAAGATATCTGAAGTTATAAATATATTTTACTGATAAACGCCAAAAACAGCGTAAAAACAGTGTGCTTTACAATCGGATAAGATACAAACATTTATATAATCACTAAGTTACATGAATTAACATAGTTGTTGTTATTAATCAAACAACTCATTTATCCATAACTCAAAATATGCTACATCAAGCTAAAATATTCCTTACCTTTTTGCAACATTTTCAGCTGTCCCACCCATAGGGAGATTACAGAATGCATCCATTAAAGCATCATTCATAATTGTATCTAGTAAACTGAAACTACCATAATTTGGAAGTTCTGAGGTATTTTGACCCCCTGCACGACGTAGACATGCTCTAGGAGGAGTCGCATGTGGCGCTTGACTCATTGATTCTTGTCCACCAGCTATTATCCAACCCCCATCCACCGAGGAAGGAAGACTTAACCGATCAAAACCTAAACATACAGATTTCAAACCTGATCCACACATCATATTTACACTCCAGGCAGGCACACAATAAGGAATTCCTACAAGGTGTTTAAAAAGTATATATTACTCAATATTATTTACTTACATACAATCCAAAAATATCAGATATTATCAATTGAGGGATATTTATTTATTTATTACTGTTATGATTTATTTATTTATTTATTTATTTATTTATTATTATTATTATTATTAGCTTTATTCAACATTATATTTTTGGTACAATATAGAATTCTCAGTACAAAATATTTCCACAAATTTCGCTTCCTTATTGCTTGATTGATCCTGACGATAAATATTGAAATCTTTCAGTGGTACTGAGGAATCATCTTATGAATCATTTAATCAGGATTCTTGAATTGTGATCATACTACAATTACGATACATGCTTAGACTTATTAGGAATTGAAGACAGTCTACATTTCCAATTAGTGATCGCCAGTTAGACATAATATGAAACAGGAAGGGAATGACAAATAAGCAAATATATAGTGTGAATAATGCCAAAACAGTAGAAGTAGGATGAAATCATACTATTTAGCCGTAACTTTTGTTTTGGCTTTATTCAAACAAATATAAATTTCCAAAAGTAAATTAAAATGTTAAAATAAACAAAAAAAGAATTCAACAGAATTTTAATAGGTATATCAATCTATTTTCGTTCATCATTCTGGAAAATAACCGAATTTCTCTGGTGTGAGAATTTCTAGAGGCTTAACCACTCAAGTCAATCAGCAATCAACAAACATCAAAATCAATCCAATCCATCAACTACTCGGAAAAATCATGAAAAAATAAAGAGGACCAAGAATCAGATCAGAGGGAGATATAATCAAAAATAAAGAGGTAGATCAAGATCGGCAGGACAAGCTGTTAGTCATATGTGGAGAAATTTGAATGCTTTACTTCTACTTGAAGTATGTGCTGATGATGTTCAGAAGAACGATGAATGCTCCACGACTAAACCGTCCAGTTCAGAGAATGAAGCTTCACCAAAATTACCCATTTGTGCTACAAATGTTCACTATGACAGAACTAGACGAGGAATTGTCTACTTATTTAAAGCTGAAATACAATCATATATCTGAAAATAGTGATATATAAATACCTGCTAATATAGCAGCTTGTCTAGCGGGATTCTGTCCAGTAGATGTTGTCAACACTTGACCAAGAATCACTTCTTCCAAATGTTCCATAATGTGATTTTTTAATTCTTTTGGATTGGTTGAATTTTCCACAACATTATCTAACACAGATGAAATTACTTGACTGCCCAATTGATGAGCTGATAAACCGGATAAACAACCAGACATTCGGCCGATAGGACTACGTAATGCGCTAACAATGAAAACACCGGAACCATTCATCTAAAATAATATACATATGCACACATTGAATAAGTATAGGATTTAATTTTGACTGTTAAAGACAGTAAAACTTTGTGATATAGACATAAATATTAGAATACAAAAACAGAGATAGATGGAATATATTTGTATATTATAACGTATAAATGATGAAACATTTGATAACAAAGGAATGATGAACAAAGATATCGTATTTACAAGCAAAAAAGTTATGATTATTAGTTCGAAAAAACAAACATCCATTATGCTGATAATCCAATATCCTTATGATGATACATCTTTTGAGGTAGCTTTTACATCCGTAAGAGAAGTTGTACTGGTACAAACTGATGTAATGGTAGAATGGTACATACAACGAATGAAAGGATTCCATGCAATGACCGGTTCTGAACAATTCTGAGATGACCCACCACCACAACGACGAAATAAATACTAAATAAACAAGAAAACACAAGCGGATAAGAAAAGTAAAACAAGATATATTAATAAATAATATATATATATATATATATATATATATATATATATATATATATATATATAGCATTTGGCCAGTGCTATTAGGTAAAACAGATTATTAAAAGCTAGGTGAAACTATGTATTTAAATTTCAACGAAGTTCCACGTAAAATATCCATAAAAAGAAAAACACTGTCACTTACTTGTGGTGGAATTTGCAAAGTTGGAGAAATAGGATTACTTACACAGGGCTGATCAGAATGTCCTTTGCTACTACGATTTAAACGTGGAGATTGGGATTTAGTGATATGATCATCAAATTTCATTGATTTATTAAAATTTGGTGTGGAAAATTCACCGCATAATGAAGGATTACAAATATGATTATTTGAAATGGTTGTATTAGGTGAAATATTTGATGATTCGACATCAATTGTAGTATTATCACTATTTACATGACATTCGATTATTGGGTTTTCAGATTTAACATTAACATGTTCGCTGTAGCCATTTGAATTCGACTCATCAATTGATAGTTTTTGTTCATTTGATGAATTTTGATCGTAGTCTGGTGCAGGTCTCATTTGCACTAAATGATGAGAGCATACAGGTAATAAAGGGACACATGCATTTGTACACCGTTTTTCCCAAGTTGTTGTTGTAGGATCACGAAAACGACATTGCTGACTTGCATTAGGTGGCCTACACCATTTTGCTATACGATTACTAACTATAGCAAATTTAGATACACAGGCTAAATGTCTCTGATTCGCAGTCTACAAAAGAAATGAAAAGAATGTGAAAACAATGCGCTGATTAGACAAAATTCGTGATATATTAAACATTTCATTACTTTTATAACGCCACAACATAAACTAAATAGATTTATGTATTTGTTTACCGAAGTATGGAATGCATCCAGTCTTTGATTGGATGATATTAAATGCTAATATATTATCCGTTTAAAATTCTACATAGTCTATGTATGTTCAAAAAATAACTATTAAACCTTTTGTCATTTATAGTAATATTAACTGTTAATTAATGTTTTACTCAATTTTATCTGTAGCTAGTCGATTACAATACCTAAAATTTATATCGTTTATTTAGATCCTAATTCATATACATTGGTTGTTCAAATCTTCCCATTGTTGTTTAGGACTGTAATTGATCAGTCTCTTTTGGCATATGTACAATCTGTGTGGATTGCCTCGTTGTTGTCACTGAATCACAAGAGACTGATTAATTGCAGTCCTAAGCAACAACGGGAAGATACAAACAACCAATATAAATAAATTAAAATTCACCCCATAGCACAAGGTAATAGCTAAGTGAAAAACGCGATGGTATTCGAAGCGAACGGTACTGAGTTCCAGTCTCGGAGTGGACGTCAACTTTGATACGCAGGTACATCGAGCTGAGTCTCAAACAGGTCGAAATGTGCATTCTGGATTCTACTGTTAGTCACTATATATCTCTACTTTATTTGAATTCATCTTTAAACTACTTACCATATAAAGTGGAAATAGTTGGAAGCTATTAAATAGAAATCTCCGTCTCTAATATCGTTAGTAATTATCAACAAATATCGAATAAGAAGTGCTTTAAATATTATATCACCAAATCCATTGAGCACATGACACTCCAAAAATATTGATACGTGTCAGTTGGTACTTCTGACAACAGCTTGTAGTGGTCTGGTACTATTTCAAGTTCGCATAAGTTATTCTAGCCTTTGTACAGAACAATCTATTCATGTTTCTCAAGCCTTCTTTCTACCCTGTCACTTGTCCGCTTATTAACCCTGACTGCTTTTTATATGATCGTATGTGTCAAATACTTACCCTACTCATCATGTGTCTGTAACTTATTTTAATTTGATTATAAGTATTGAGTCACGTTTGATCAAATCGAGTTGGGTCACATGCCCTCTCTGATTCGTTTCGTTCGGTTTCACTCTCCCCTCTTCGCTTCATTTCTCTGCTTGTCTGTCCAGATCGACAATTGTGTGAAACATAAGTATTCGAAATTCATTCTCGTATTTGACTTATTTAATCCCCTTATTCCCTAACACGAGCTAAGTCGATGATTATATATGAGATCAGCCGGGATGTATATTTCGATGATAATCAGCATACGATCTAACCAGAGTCAGATACAGGGCCACCAAAATCTAATTGATGAATTTTTAACCTATAGAAAGATATTCAAAAAACGAGACACCTATCACTGATGTAAGGTAGGAATATAGACTGGGATAACAACAAACGACCCCGTCTATTTCATAGGTGATTTCGAATTATTCTAATATGAACGAGGTGATAAAAGTGATTATCACAATTATCTCAAATAATTTCTTATCGAGTTCCAAGTGAAAAACAAATTGTAATTAGTTTCAACAGTAACAGGAAAATTCCAAATTAAGACTATTATGGAGAAATAAGGAAATAAGAGGTGGCTAGCAGTAGAATCCACGATGCGCGATCCGTCCCACTTAAGGCTCATCAGCTGAGTGTACCTGTATTCCACAGTTGATGTTCACTCTAGGATCCCAACTTAAAATCTTTCGCTTTAAACGCCAACGCGTTGTCCGATTGGCTCCTGAGTTTAAATAGCTATTGGCTTGTGCCGAAGTGTCCCGAAGTTAAAATCAACCCTGAAATGCTGGTACACCCAGCTGACGTGTATCATTAAATAGAACGAAACGCATGTTCTGGTTTGCACTGTTAGCCACAGTTTATCTATGCTTAAAATGCTTGTGACCTAATGGTAATATCGAGACAATTCGCCCAGGACGCACGTTAGCTAAAGGAAATTAATCAATTTTGATCCTAAACATCGATGAGAAGATTGAAACAACCAATTGTAAACGAATTAAACTAAGGGAATGCTACTAACAGTAGAAGTTCCTACCATAACTATATCTTATATCAGTGAATATATTGAAAAATCTGTGATTTCTATGATTTAGTGTATATTTCAGTATGCATTCATTGAAAATAGGAACAAATTGAAAATTACCTTAACAGAGTGACGCAACATTTTCTGAGCAGCACGTTGTCTAAGTTGACTACGACCTGGTAAAGTAGATATTGTATCTAAATGAGAACAAATTATTATTATCATTATTACTGATAAATTATGGAGTTAGATGATATCTACTTAATGCACAAAAAATACATCAGACAAATTTAAGTTAAAAATTATCATGCACTCTATTTACGTAAAATTACGAAAGATATACTCATTCAAATTTAGAAATGAGGCGTTTTCTATTTACTGACGATAAACAACTATATAACAAGATACAACTATTGACAAAGTAATTAGGAAGGGAAAAGAAACAGGGTCATTTCATAGAATAGCTCAATTCAACTGTGTATTCGAAACAAATCGACTACATGTCTTTTTCTGTTTATTGAACTGAAAATAAATCAAATATTTATTAATAACACTGTTATGACTTATGACCCTGTCAATTACCACGTAACAAAGTCTCCAATCAAAATGCCGACTTATATGACCTTTTCCCCGTGCTAAACTAATGGTGTGTTAGCCACCACGAGCAGTCTTGAGTTAACACTGAGTCCTTATTGGTCTTCCGTATAGCAACTTCTCGCCTAACACAGCCGGTTCAGGACACAGTACTAGCCTCCACCGTGTGAATCGTATATTTCAGACATACGTGGTTTATATACATGCAGATCAAACCGCATCACATTACAAAATGAAAAGTGAAAAGTGTACAAGATCAAGCCAAAAGTGGTTCTGAGTATTAGATAATGTAACTAATAAACTGGGCATAAGTTAAAGATGGTAAATCGTATAACAGTATCCAGTAGATTAAATGAAAGTTTATGAATACACATATAATCTAGTTACTTAATAATTATCTAATAAGAATACATGTAATAATAGTCCATAAATAATACCAAACAGTTAATATTCACTTATTTTTCATTCGGATGTAACAAGTGCTGATACTACTGAAAACTAATATAAACTCTTGGATCGTATTTTATTTTGATGAAGACTTTTTAAGTAGCCTATAGCACAGATAGAAGCTGACTCACAGGTTTAGTTCATTATTAAATGATTCTAGTGTTCTTTTTCTTGTTGACAAGCAAATATCATCAACATGGACTAGAACTGACAGACAAACAACTAAAAGCCAGAGAGCACTGGGCAAATTGTTTTTGGTATAATTTGAAGCTTTCCATCGACTGTCACCCATGACTCAACACATATTTAGTAAGTCTTGAGGCAAAATGTACACCAACTACACAGTAAATCAGAACCCAGTATTCCGAATGGTGAAGTTTAACTATAAGATAAAGTTAACTAAGGCAAAATTACTTTTCTTCGACTGTTTGGTAAGAGAATGAGTACATGAACATTTTTGTATTAGTATCTACAGCTTAGGTAAATGATTTCGTCGAAAAGAAAATTTTCTTCGCTAAATTCTCTTTTTCTAAAAAACTATTTGTTCAGACAAATACCTTTAAGTTATGTCCTTACACGAAGTTAATACGAGAGTGTCTATTATCTTCACACTTTAAAAGTGGGCAAAATGAACCGATAATGTGTTGAAGAAATGAAATGAAAATATATGAACAGAATTCGAAAGGTGAATAACTATTAAAGGAAATTCTTTTGTAGAATCCATAAGAATCTAATGAGACAATAAATGTTATCTAAATCAATGAGTCAATATAGTAAACAGCTTGCTCAAGAATACGTCAGCTGAGATTAGAAAAGTACTCAATAAGCGAGACACCCCTATATCAATGACCTTTAAGACGTTTCAGATGACAAAGGTTCATGTGAAAGATAGGATGCCTCTAATTTCTAGTTTAAGAAAATTTGATAAACGGAATGTATGGTATGATACGGTGTATATGCAGAAAGCTATTCGCGAAATTCATACCAAAATAGACAAAAAAGGCGATACTCAGAGCTTCTAGTTTGTCAAACCTCTACACACACGCTACCACAAACCTTATTCGTCTTCAGTGAAGATTATACCAGAAACACATTTAGGAACCCCAACATATGATGTCTTCACTTGCAGACTCTGCCTAGAGTTACTTGCACCCTGGTTCATCAGCTTTAATACTTTTCTCAACTAGTAATTAAATATTATGTAACCAGTCTCTACAAGGAAGTTCTAATATTGACCAAAGTTTTGTAAATAACATTTTAGTCATTTAAACTCAGGCACTATCATTTATTTACCTTTCAGTATTGCCTTGGTTACAAAGTTTCTGTGCATTTAGATAGACGGGAACACGTAGAAAACATCAAAAACCACCAATAACTCAACACACAATTGCAGTAATTCACTAGTTATGAGAATTGGTACATAGAATATAGATAATTCTGTATTTCATAAACACTTATTTGTCATACTGAAACCCACTTGCATGTATATGATAATATATCTTAGATCTGGTTATGACTATTCTAGTCTGGTAACAGGTTGTTTATAGTTTGCATAAATGCTATTCCCAGAGCTACTCAGGAAGTTCATAGTTTGCAGTTAATAAATGCTTTCACTCTACATTCAACTATAAAGAAACGACGAGATTCATAGATAATAACGAAGTAGTGAGAGGCGAGAAAATTGTTCGGTAAAGTCATATGGTCTATTTTAAATATAATATGAGTGATAGGGATAGATTAGCTTTCTTTCGGTACATGAATAGTTACATTACTTTGATAAGAAAACACTAAGAATTGACAATGAAAATAAATGAAAATGACGCCATAATAAAAACAATATGTGAACGTTGAAACAAAAGTTGTCTGATATGTAAAGTACAACAGAGCCGCCAAAATACTCGAAAAAAGCCTAAGATACAAATAACCGTTATCTTACAGACCAAGTACAGAAAATTCCATTGAGATCACGAATAAATCCAAGTGAGACAACCATTAAAAACCTAGAAGCACTGAAAGGTCGTTTAGTTTCAGTATGGGATTCAACAATTTCATAATAATAAATACATGAAAGTTGGATATTCATGCAAAACTTTGGTTAACAACAGTTGATTTTATACTTTGGCATCTGATCCATCAATAAACATTCTAAAATACTACACTCTTTCACTTAACATTGATGTAGGAGCCTTGTAGTAAATGAAACACTTATTCTTCGAATCAAAGTTAAGTTGGTTTCCCAGACCTATCAATCTAGTTGCATTGAATTCCTCGCTCGATTTTTTCATTACAAACTATCAACTCGCCGAGGACAATATTGATCAAAGGCATCCGTACTGAGTACTTTAAATATAATTTTTTATGGCTGTAAGAAGTAACGGACAGTGTTTTTAATTTTTAGCTGATTACTTTGATTCTAAACAGAAAGCAAATGAAGTTAAACATCAACGTACTTGCTTTATTTAATACTGGTTTGGTTGGACTAGCTTTACTCTCCTCTATGGCATAAGGAATATAGGCATCAACAAGTTGTTGCCTTAAAACGTATAGAGCTTGATGACATAGGTTCTTATACGACTCCCAACGATCGATAGCCAGGTCAATAACTTCCTTACCAGTGTAAACACCAGCAGATCTGTTCAAAGAAAAAAAATATCTATAAAATGAGCATTTAATTAATGAAGTGGATGATTTAAATCTAATTTGGCCAATCTATATCAAAAAAGACTATTTGCCTGCATATTCGTTTGTCAACTACCAATAAACATATATATTTCCTAAAACCATATAATTATTTCACTACATAAATTGTAAACAAGCCAAAACTTTATTGGTACTGTAGTGAACAAGAACACCAGTGGAGACAACTGATTTCTTTGAACACTAAGTTACAGAATCTCTTAGTAAAATCTGAGAACCATAAAGTAAATAATTCATTTGCAAAATGTCAATCAATTGTCTCAGACTTAATTGTTCCTTCGTTTCCTCACCAACCATTCTTCGTTCTCGTTCTCTTTTCTTCGATCTCCTTAACCTCCTGCCACCCAAATTAGTCAACTGGATACATCTTAGCCTCAAAAATAAGATATACCTAAGCAGTTTGAGAATGATTAGTAAAGTTAGAGTTTAGAAGCTGTCATTAATTGGATAGCTTGCATATATTTTGAGGTCAAAATGAAGGTGATTATAATCCCATCCTACCTCACTTAGTGTATTTTACACAAAAAAATTCTGTGAAAATATTGAGTGATGTTTTGATGAAAGCAATAAACAATAGAGTTCTGCAACAATCTACTTTATACAATGACATAAATACTGATCATAACTTGTACTTAAAATGAAATGTAGTTCACAAGTTAATATGTAAATTACAAAACTTATTATAACCAACAGAAAAACAAATTACAAGTGCTAAAAACTTTGCTCACAGTGCAAGCATATTTCTATTTTTAAGCATTACATACACGTTTATCAGGAAGGAGAACTCTCAGAAATCACTAAACCACAATTTAACATCATTATATGCAGTAGATAAGCGAAAAAAGCCATATGTTTGCTTCTGTCAATAAATGAAGTTGAAACACCACCACGGAAGTGCGTAAGATTGATGGTACAATGCACGAGGAACTTCATATTGTCCGATGTAAGAAAATGATCAACGACAAAAACTGCTTAGTATTTAAGCTTGGTTTTGAGTAAAATATTACAAAACTATTACAATCTGATAATAATTCTCGGTAGTAGTGAAAGACCAATCCGTCAAACTCGCTTCCGGTAACTCTTGTCAATAAAAAGAATATATTTAGTCATTGTTGTGAGTCTTTTCTCTCAGAAGTTGTGGTTTTCCACGACTGTTGATGTCTACTTTTTAATGACATTCCCCTTCTTGTTTTAGTTCTAGTCGGACCGAACACTATATACGCATGTTTGCTTTTTGGGTTTCTCAGATCGTGTCATCACATTCTCGCAAGCATTTGCTTGGAGTCGCATTTTTCAAATACTTGATTTTGTTGTTTTTGATAGTTTTTTAAAAACATTTTTCACCGTCTTAAAAAGCATGGACAGTAAGATAGGGTGAACTTATTTAGCGATCTTTCAAAATATCCCAAGACAGTACTGCTGGTGATTTTGGGCACCTGGGATGAAGAGTCAGTAAATTAACCTATGCTCTGCTTTAGGTTGTGACGCTTCTATTTTTGTAATACAAAAGGGCCACAAAAGTGAGATTTTTGTTTAGTATGATGATTAAACCTGACCACCAGACCAAGTGAGTATACACAAATCAACATGACATGATTCAAAAACAAGGAATGATAAGACCTTGAGGTTTCGTTGATCAGTTAGTTTTTAGTGGGTTTTGTGTATAAAATGTCAGTATATATGATTACTCACTGAACAAACAATTTTGTCGATAAGTGGATATAATCCAAGAAATTCTAGCATTTTTGCTAACGTAACATTATTATGTCGGTAAGCTGTAATTTAAAATACAGTAGTTCGAACCAGAATCTAAGTAATATGATTCGAACCACACGGTGAAAGTCAGTGGTACAATCTGGCTGGTCAAATAAAACGCAATATATTTTTCTTAAAGCTTCGGTTTATGTAATTATTTGTCAGCTAAAGTGAACATTCTGTTGCAACACAAAAAAACAATTTACAGTTATCATAATGGGCACTGGTTTTAAGGCAAGACCAAACAAGATAAATGTACATACTTCAGATAATGAAGCGGATACTTTTGAGGATGTGAAAACCTGTGTGTATCCTTAATAGAATTAAGGTGTTTTTCTTCTGTTGGTTCACATAAAGGTGTAGAGGATAAAGTAGGATTCTCGAGATCTATACAATGATCATCAGAAAGGCAAGAGGAAGATGAAGAAATGCTACCACCATCTGAAGACCAAGCATCTAACATATCCAAATGAGGATTAGTTAAGTGAACATCCTGTTGACGTTCCCAGGCTTGAATTATAGATTGCTCAGCGGGATAAATTTGAGAAGCCTCACTTTTTCCATCATCAAGAGACATGAGTTTATTTGTAAGTTTAGTGTCAAGATTGTCACAAAAAATCACTGGAATAGAGGGAAATATTATTCAATGTTAATGACTACAGAATAATAATTCGATATAGAACATCTAAAGTTTTTATTTCCAAACCAAACAAAAAATCAAAATATAAAATAGGATCCCGGGACCTAGTCCCATAACTACGGTATAAAGAGCAGTTATTATAAGGATAACAGACTAAAGATAATAGCTCCCAAGATAAAGTGGACGACAATACAAATCAAGAGACAGAAATATTAGGGCTTTTTTACTACTCTGAGATACCAAGCCATGTTTATTCTGGGATTCATTCGTTGCATTGCCACACGGGCTCATAGGTATTTGTGTCGGAAACCACCTTATGACTAGTTAACTGATTCATCTAGTCCAATAATATAACATACATCTACCAGCTAAAATGTAATTTAAAACTTCTTCGCACTTTGATGTAGATTGAAAAACACAAATCACTTGTATCTCCGCTGAGATTTTGCTAGCAAGCAACTTATTAAAGCTGATGAAATTCCTAAAGTAAGTGAAGCGGTCAGTCAATTCGACCATTTTATTTTTAGATGTCAAACTGAGTTCATATAAATTCAAAACCGAAACTTTAGACCAAGGGGGGGAATTGTATGATAATGTTAACAATCCAGATTATTCGTTCCTCCCAGAAATGTAAACAAGATAAGGAAAGCAATATTTGCAGAACATGACGAATTCGTTACTTTCTCTTTAGCGAAATACAAACTAGTTGTTTCTGACTGTCAATATGTTGAGTTGGGGAAGTGAATTGTCCATTAATAGCAAACGCTATCTGGGATGTTAATGGGGTCCTAATAAATCCTTGGAGTGACAAATCCAGAATATTTAAGTACTGGAAAAAATATCAAGACTTGGGAAAAAAGTTTATGTCAAAATCATTGGGCTGCAATCAGTTACAGGACGGAATAAGACCAAAACACCTAGTTCGCTTTTATTATTAACGGAGCTGAGGGCTAATCACCAAACCATTTTAAACACAAAAGTCGAATTTAAAACATTTAACTGCTATGGCTTTCATGAATTATAATGAGGTAGTATTAGATCGTTTAGAAAACTTTGAAAGTATTTGCTGAATCCACTTTACGCTTCGCCTCTAGCAGGTGACGCGCCATCAAACTACGAAGGCCGTTTTGTCACAGTGAACGTAAGTTCTTGGGAATATCCATATACATGTGAAAGCTTGCTGTCCTGCCTTCCAGTGCACGTCCCTTTGTATATTTTGTATTTTTATCACCGAATGTTTCCCACAAGATTTATGACGTCATACTACTATAGTATTCAGCAACACAGTTCATCACAACCTCTAGAGATGCAATTTTTTAAGGCAATAATTTATTACTGCATACGTCAATTTGGTATTCCTTGGTGAGCATAACTTTCTGGCTCAGTGATAAAGCGTTCTCAGTATATCATATCTGCACTTTCGGTTCAGTTATTTAGAAAGCTGTGTGTTGTCTGTCTTTGATCAACAAGACTGCCATCTACACATTCAAATCATCTAATTATTTGGTAGAAAAGGTCGTGGGAATTTATGGGAAGGAAATTCAACCGCAAGAAGTACTTCAATTACGAATTTCGATGACGTAGATGTAGTAAACAACCTCAAAATCCCAACTTTTGGACAGCATTGATCAAGTTAGGGTAATTTTGTTAGTCTCGTTGAAAATGTTGGGTGGGTTTTTTGAAAACGTGACAAGATTTACCCCCAAGTACGATTTTTCCCATAATTAACACGACCGGAGTATTTTCAAAAACTTATCCAGGCCTGAATTTTTCCCCGAAATTCGCCCCAAACCACGTAGAAAACAACCAGGGTTATTAGCTTGGAACACGAAAAACTAGTCGTAACTACTTCATATATTAACTTAAGCAAACTTTTGAAGAATAACATATGATCAACGCGAAATTCTCAAACAACTCGCTTCCCAAATGTTTATTTCCATCACTGTAATGACAAAGTATTTACCGTTTAAAAGTCACCGAGAAAACAACGAAAAAGTATGCTACAGCTGGTTCAGTGTTTTGAGGCCCTGAAGGCTCTGAATAAAATTTATATTATTCGAGTAACAGGAAATAGCTTTCTGTAAGAAACCAAAAAGCAAGTTGTTAGGAGCGTTTTGTAATTCACCTTAGAGTGAGTGGATAGAATATGCTAATCACCATATAGTGACTAAGCAAGTTGTAGTTACCAAACCTCTGCCAAGATCCGATACTTAAGACATTGAAATTAATTAGAAAAGAGGAGACGGACTACTCTGAGCTAACCAAGTTAATGAAATAATGACCCACAAACGTCCCAACCACCTTTGAGTTACGAGCACAATGGAACATCGCGCCGTGCAATATCAGGATTAGATTAAATCCAAATTTAACCTGCTGTAGCCGAATACAAAAGTATTTTTTTCTTCGAATCTGCCTCTAGGTAGTTGTGACGAGGTATGATCACTGGTATATTCATCGTTTAAACTGATAGGTAGCGCAATTTCGTTTAGTGATAGATATTTTCTACCAATTACACTTAGAGTGACACCGCCTGTAGCTCTTCTAGAGCTACTACCGGTCTTATGCCCATAAAGGAGGAGGGTTTGGCACAGAGTCGATAACGCTCTCCGGTAGAAAACAATCTTACTTGCGGCCTGCTTGAATATCTGGGCTACCTGTTCCACCGATCTAGATATTTCATCAAGTTATCTGTTTTGTTGTTTGTTTTAGCACATCACTATGTCTATTGTGCGCACAACCTATTCAGGCGCGTTTATGAAAAGTTTACAACCTTTCGCTATACGGGATACAAGAAGGTACAATCAGAGACATCATGGTTGCTGGCAATATGCATTGAAACAAATGAACAGTAATCAAATGTGGATTACCAAACTTCTAACATCTAACTGGTCATCATTCAAAATTTATCGTCACAATCGATCAAGGTATAAGAAAAGGAAACTTGTTGAAATATTTTATGCTGAGAATTCTATGTTGTACCAAAAATATAGTGTTGAATAAAGCTTCTAATAATAATAATAAAAAAAAACAAAGCCAGTGAGATTAAACTATTTAAATTTTGTGCTGGGAGTCGAAGGAAGAATTATGACACCTCATGATGAAAGCCGAAATTCTTCGGGAGTCACGAGGCCGATGCTCCTTCTAACAATCTGAGCAGCAACTTTTATGGGTACATGAAACGTCCGGACAATGTGGGAGACAGAAGAGACTAGTTAAATAGCAACAGAAATGAGGAGATACAACTTGGCAGTGCTCGAAATTAGTAAGACCCATTGGACACAAGCTGGACAGCAAGGGCTAAACGCAGGAGAGGTGCTACTGTACTCCGATCACGAAGAGTAAAATTCTCCACACACGCAGAGTGTTTCTCTGATGCTGTTCAAAGAAGCACGGAATGCACTCATAAGATGGGAATCTCACGGATCCAGGATCATCAAAGGATCCTTCAAAATAAAGTGGAAAGAATTCACTATGAGTGTTGTCCAATGTTGCTTGCCCACCAACGATAGCAACGACGACAATAAGGATTAGTTTTATGAACGGCTACAATCAGTCATAGAGAAATACTCAGGAAAGTACCTAACAATCCCACTGTTAGATCTAAACGCTAAAGTCGGACTGGACATCATCGGCTATCAAGATATCGTGGGACGACATGGACGGACGGGGAGAAAGGAACGGAAATGGCGGAAGATTTTCGAACCTACGTGCATTCAACAAAATGTTTATAAGTGGTGCGATATCCCCACAAAAACATGTAAACCAAGCTACATAGGTCTCATCGGATCACACTACAGTGAATCAGATCGATCATATTTGCATCACTAAAATATTCAGAAGGCCAACGGAATGCGTGGGAATACAATAAAACACACCCTTCCTTCAACATAATGACAAACTCAACCAATTCCACAGAGCTTTTAACATCAGCTTCCATGCCTTACAAGATCTACTCAACGAAGAAGAAACTACTATTGAGAACAACTCAAAAGGAATCAGAGAAGCACTAACTTCAACATGTCAGGAGATAGTGGGTCACATAAGCATCATCATAAAGGATAAATCTCTATGGAATCCCTGGACAAGACTTAAGAAAGGAAGAACAAGAAGGCAGTAATTAACAACATCTGAACAAGAACAGGGAAAGTTAAGACACAAGCTGAATACACCAAAGCAAACAAGCGAGTTGAGAAGAGCATTAGAGCTGACAAGTAGAAATATATCGAAGAATTAGCAACGACAGCGTAGAGGGAAATCGGAAATAACTAATTGACACGATGAAGAAACTGAGAGAGAACTATAATAAACCAAAGTGTTCATTCAAGGACAAAGAGGGTAAGCTATTCACTGAGATTCAATAACAGAGAAACAGATGAGTGGAACACTTTGAAAATCTCTTGAATGGACCAGCCACATTGAACCTACCGTACGTCAAAACAACATACACAGACATTCCTACAGATGTCACTCCACCAACGATCTAAGAGATCAGGATGGCCATCGGACAAATCAACAATGGGAAATCAGCATGACCCGACAATATATCAGCCGAAGCACTCAAGTCACACAGAAGTAACTACACATGCTTCACGTTCTATTCAGGAAGATTTGTGAGGAAGAACAAACGCCGACAGACTAGGAAGAAAGACACGTCATCAATATATCAAAATAAAGAGATTTGAACAAATGTGTGGGCTCAGCTACAGAAGCACCAGAAAACGTCGTCCACAGAGTGTCGCTGAACCGAATGAAAGTTTCAGTAAACATCCAACTTCAGGATCTACAGGTCGGATTTCGTAAGGACCGGTTGTGCACAGACCGAATCGCGACACTACGCATCATCGTTGAACAATCAATTGAATTGAACTCGTCACCATACATCGAATTCCTTTACTATGAGAAGGCGTTGGACAGAGTGGATAGGAAAACCTTATGGA